AATGAAACCCAGTCCCAGTACATCATTTTACATATGTGCAGCTGTCAAAAAAAGTTTAAAATAATAGTTATTTATGTATCAAGGGAATTATAAGGGCCTTAATTACCGATGGCAAAGTTTGCGTCCCGAGGGCTTGTGGCCCGAGGAACAGCAATTACCTGAGGTTATTAAGGCCCATTAATTCTCGTGGTATATAGATAATTTTATTTCTGACAGATTTCAATAAAATTTTGTTCATTTTTAAAACGGAAAAGATGTACCAATTTATTACACTCCCGGTATATTTGAATCAGGTACCGTTGATTATAAGGTAGAGGGAATTATAGAATCTATAATGTCCCAAGGGAGTTATGACCCTCTTTATTAATAGCGTAACTATGACGATATAAATAATATCCCTGTCGGAAATACATATATTTTTATTACTAGAAACCGACATATTTGATAAAACCCGACGCCGCTGGGTCTGATATTTTTTTATTATTTTCTTCAAATATTTTGTTGCGTTCAAGGGTAGGCAACTTTATATACATATGTGTATATTGGGTTGTCGTAATAATAGGGTGTTACATTGTAAAATTATAAATGCAAAGTTATGTGGGTATTTTTTTCTTTGCATTGTCATTGCCTTTTTTCTATTTCATGGTGCAATCATTCATAATTGGAATTACGGTCAAAAAAATGCCATTATTGTAAAACTAGCTTCAAGAACTAATAAATTAAGTACTTCCGGTTTATGACCTTAAAAATCCTTTTATGATCTGGGTAGTTCGATGACCTGCTTTCAACGGGGTTATAAATTGTCATATTTTGGGTTCATCTAGAAACAAAACAGATGTTGGAATTTTATGATATTTGTCGAAATTATGTTAGCTTCCAGTATTTATTACATAAATATTTGCTAGACACTCCCTATAGTCTTTTTGGATGCGGTGCATCTTTCGCTGACACAATATATTATTCTAATATTTCAATGAGTGGACAGACGCAGTTTTAACAATGAAGAAAGGGAAATATACACCGGCATTGATACATTCATGATTAGTTGTTCAACCATTATTGATTAATAAAGTTTATTTTTGTAAAGTGAATTTCTATTATCCCTTAGTTAATAATTAGTATCGGGTCCAAAGAATCTTTAAGCAAATTACGATAAAGAAATATTTCCTTTTATTCTGTAGAATATAAAAAAAGAGGAGTAAATTCATGTCTTATTTTTAGACGTTGGGATTTCATATTTATCCGTCCAAAGTATGAATGTACAGAGGCGGGTTACAGTAATATAACTATAGGTATTGTATTTAATTTTTATAGACATATATGTGTTCCTCTGTACATTATTTTAATAGATATTACTGTGGTGAACTGATTAGATTTTAGACAGAGTTTGAACATCTGGGGGGTACTTTATAGGGGGTCATTTTTATATTTTATACAATATAACTGTTATTTACATTTGGAAAAGAAAATTCTTTAAATAAAAGTTACTTCTAATATTATTCTCTATAATTTTTGTTCTATAGAAAATTTCTCTAAAATGGACCGTATTCGAGATATTTAAGAAAAAGTGTAAAATTCGAGTTTTGACAAAAACTGAAAAACGAACAAAGAGAAAAACATCAAATTTTAAACTTAAGCTTTATTCCGACCTGTGGTGAACTGATTAGATTTTAGACAGAGTCGGATCATCTGGGGGGGTACTTTATAGGAGGCCATTTTTATATTTCATGAAATATAACTGTTATTTACGTTTGGAGAAGAAAATTCTTCAAATAAAAGTTACTTCTAATATTATTCTCTATAATTTTTGTCCTACAGAAAATTTCTCTAAAATGGACCGTATTCGAGATATTTAAGAAAAAGTGTAAAATTCGAATTTTGACAAAAACTAAAAAACGAACAAAGAGAAAAACATCAAATTTTAAATTTAAGCTTTATTCCGACCTGTGGTGAACTGATTAGATTTTAGACAGAGTCGGAACATCTGGGGGGGTACTTTATAGGAGGCCATTTTTATATTTCATGAAATATAACTATTATTTACGTTTGGAGAAGAAAATTCTTCAAATAAAAGTTACTTTTAATATTATTCTCTATAATTTTTGTCCTATAGAAAATTTCTCTAAAATGGACCGTATTCGAGATATTTAACAAAAAGTGTAAAATTCGAATTTTGACAAAAAATAAAAAACGAACAAAGAGAAAAACATCAAATTTTAAACTTAAGCTTTATTCCGACCTGTGGTGAACTGATTAAATTTTAGACAGAGTCGGAACATCTGGGGGGGTACTTTATAGGAGGCCATTTTTATATTTTATGAAATATAACTGTTATTTACGTTTGGAAAAGAAAATTCTTTAAATAAAAGTTACTTCTAATATTATTCTCTATAATTTTTGTCCTATACAAAATTTCTCTAAAATGGACCGTATTCGAGATATTTAAGAAAAAGTGTAAAATTCGAATTTTGACAAAAACTAAAAAACGAACATAGAGAAAAACATCAAATTTTAAATTTAAGCTTTATTCCGACCTGTGGTGAACTGATTAAATTTTAGGCAGAGTCGGAACATCTGCTTTATAGGAGGCCATTTTTATATTTCATGAAATATAACTGTTATTTACGTTTGGAGAAGAAAATTTTTCAAATAAAAGTTACTTCTAATATTATTCTTTATAATTTTTGTCCTATAGAAAATTTCTCTAAAATGGACCGTATTTGAGATATTTAAGAAAAAGTGTAAAATTCGAATTTTGACAAAAACTAAAAAACGAACAAAGAGAAAAACATCAAATTTTAAATTTAAGCTTTATTCCGACCTGTGGTGAACTGATTAAATTTTAGACAGAGTCGGAACATCTGGGGGGGTACTTTATAGGAGGCCATTTTTATATTTTATGAAATATAACTGTTATTTACGTTTGGAAAAGAAAATTCTTTAAATAAAAGTTACTTCTAATATTATTCTCTATAATTTTTGTCTTATAGAAAATTTCTCTAAAATGGACCGTATTCGAGATATTTAACAAAAAGTGTAAAATTCGAATTTTGACAAAAACTAAAAAACGAACAGAGAGAAAAACATCAAATTTTAAAATTAAGCTTTATTCCGACCTATGGTGAACTGATTCGATTTTAGACAGAGTCGGAACATCTGGGGGGGTACTTTATAGGAGGCCATTTTTATATTTCATGAAATATAACTGTTATTTACGTTTGGAGAAGAAAATTCTTCAAATAAAAGTTACTTCTAATATTATTCTCTATAATTTTTGTCCTATAGAAAATTTCTCTAAAATAGACCGTATTCGAGATATTTAAGAAAAAGTGGAACATAAACAAATTTTGATATATATTTAATTTTATTGTTTTTTTTTATATCTATCCAGAATAATTATTAAACATTATTTATAAAATAAAATCAATGTTGAGAAGTTTCTTCTTTCTTCTCTAACTTCCTTCCTAACAAATCTATTTTATTCAGTGGTTTACAATCGATATCTGACTCTGAACTGTCTTCATCAGAAGAAGAAGCCTCATAGCATCCTATTCCAGGTAATACTGCTATACATTTTAACCCTGTATCAACCTCTTAAAATAAATAAATAAATAAATAAATAAATAATAGAATTATTTTTATTATTTAACAAAAACGAACCTATTGATAATTTTTTTTTAGTAACTTCTATAGAATCATCACCAGATTCGCTGATTTTCCTCTTCTGACTTTCAGGTCTTTTTATAACCACACCTTTCATTAATTTCTGTTGCATATTAGGTTGTTTATCTTTTTTTACTTTGTTTACTACAATTTCAGCTTGCAGTCTTTCGTCCATTGATTTTTCTTGCAATATAGACACTCTATTTCGATAATCAAGCAATTCTTGCTCTTCTTCTAATTCCTTTCTCCTATCAGCTTCTGTTTTTTTACGGTCAACAAGATCTAGGAATTCTATTTCATCGTCGTCCAATCCTTTTATCATATTCTCTAAAAATATGTTACTAATTATACTCTGCCTAATTCACCCCCCATACTAGTGAATTTCAACCCCCTAAGCTTGTGGGAAGAAGGGACAAACTATTTAAAAACACATCTATAAATACCTCAAAACTAAAATATGAATATATTTACTTAGTTTATGTGCTTCCTCATATTCAAGATCCTTTTTTTGCTTTTGTTCTTGCAATTTTTCAAACAAACTTCGATTATCATATGGTTCTTCTGGTTTCACTATATAAAAACCAAATTTTAATGTATTAACCTAATTAAAAACGGTTTAGGTACAAACTAAATTAACTATATGAATATTAGATAAATTATTATAGTAATTACTAACCTAGTGGGTCGTCAGCATTACGAACAGTTTCCCATTCTTCTTGTCTGCGTTTTCTTATTTCTGCTGCTTCAGATTCGGTGATAAATCCGGAGCTCATTTTTGCACTTTTTTTTTTCTTTGTTGATTTTAAAAGCTGGGTTAGTTGTTTCGAGGTAAAAAGTATTTTTTCATATTACTGTTTGTGTAGTTTAAATTTTAAATATGTATCTACAATATAAAATCGTTCTACGGGTATATGATACAGATAAAAATTATAAATTGTTAATTATTTTAATAATTTAGACATTTGTTGATTACTGACAGTGACAGGAATATGTGCGTTCGGTCTGCCAAGTTCCTTTAACTCTTTTAACACTTTTAACTCCAAACGACCCTTTTAGCGTTCGGTTTAGTCCGATTAGTGACAGTTTAACACGCTTAAATGTCATTTAAAAGCACCCTAAAATTTGTCTCGCTCCAGCCCCTGACTATCTGAACTCGCCTTTTTATGACTTAAAAGTGTAATGCAAAGGTGCGGACACTTTAGCATCATGCTAATTTATTTATTAGTACTGAATTTGCTGTTTGCAACGTGAATTAATTTAGAACTTATGCAAGCACCATCCCAGTCTCAAAGTTTCTCCTATCCTTAATTCGCTGTTAAATTATGGTTTCGTGTTCCATGCGTTTGACGTTTATAATTTATAACCTAAGTTTTTCATAACATTTTAAATTATATTTTCATTTGTATTTATAAGTAATCTGTAGTATTTATTATTGAAAAGACGAAGCTCTTCCAATGAACTTTTCCAGTGCTTCTTGTCTTTTAAATGTTAGAAGCGTTATTTCGAAATTTCAGCTATCATTTCCAAAAAATAGTTATGCCAAGAAAGAGGGAGGAAGTAAGTATTTTTACCTACATAATCCCTATTAATTGTAATATATAGAAAGCATTAAAAAGTTAAAGAATAATTCTTAAATTTAAAACGCCTAGAAGGGTAGTTTTAGTTGATTTTATTCTATAAAAATTTGTTAGGTTAGGTTTGGAATAACTATTTATTTTATTGGTTTTGATTGTATGTCTGGGACTAATAGAAGGCAAATTCTATGTAACTTCACTCGTCAATGTCTATGCTTAAAGATTAAGTAGTTTTAGACATAGATTTTTAAATATAGTAGGACTGAGACTTTATATTTGTGTGCAGGTGTGAGTATGATTGGTGGAGCTTTAAAGAAAAAAAAATTAGGAAAATTAGGGCCCGTAATGGAGAAGAAAGTATTACCCGTTGAAACAGATCCTGAAAAATTAGTTAAATACGTTTGCGGTACAAATATATATAAAACAGGAGAAAATGCTCTTATTAAACCAGATAGTGAATATCCTGAATGGTTATGGAATCTAAGGCTTGGTCCTCCACCACCTTTAGAAGAACTGGATCCCGAATCCAAGGAATATTGGAAAAGGGTCAGGAAAATGGCTATGAGAAGAAACAATCAACTGGCAAAGTTAAAGAAATTCTAAGCAAGAATATCAATGTAAATAATGTATTTAGTTATTAATGACAATTTTTTTAAGATTATTGTAAGTAAAATGTAAAATAAAATGATAGAGAGTATCAAAGTTGAATTCCTATTTGTTAAAGTTGAAATTGGAACCTTTATTTCGTCCCTAATTCCAAAACTAATAAATTTATAACCTTCAAAATTTCAGAATACATTTATAAAGAGTGTGAAAACATTATTCTACAAACAAAATTCTTAAATTCCAACTAGTATTAAAGTTAAATTCCTACTTGTTAAAGTTGATATTGGAACCTTTGTTTTGTCCCTAATTCCAAAACTAATAGATCTATAAACTTCAAAAATACATAACACATTTATAAAGAGTGTAAAAAGATTATTCTGCAAACAAAATTCTTAAATATCAACAGCTGTTAAAGATAGAGAGAATCAAAGTTAAATTCCTACTTGTTAAAGTTGATATTGGAACCTTTGTTACGTCCCTAATTCCAAAACTAATAGATTTATAAACTTCAAAATTTCACAACACATTTATAAAGAGTGTAATAAGATTATTCTGCAAACAAAATTCTTAAATATCAACAGCTGTTAAAGATAGAGAGAATCAAAGTTAAATTCCTACTTGTTAAAGTTGATATTGGAACCTTTGTTTCGTCCCTAATTCCAAAACTAATAGATTTATAAACTTCAAAATTTCAGAACACAATTATAAAGAGTGTAGAATCATTATTCCACAAACAAAATTCTTAAATTCCAATAACTATTAAAGATAGAGAGTATTAAAGTTAAATTCCTACTTGTTAAAGTTGATATTGGAACCTTTGTTTCGTCCCTAATTCCAAAACTAATAGATTTATAAACTTCAAAATTTCAGAACACATTTATAAAGAGTGTAGAAAGATTATTCTACTAAAAAAAATCTTAAATTCCAACTAGTATTAAAGATAGAGTGTATCAAAGTTAAATTCCTACTTGTTAAAATTGATATTGGAACATTTGTTTCGTCTCTAATTCCAAAACTAATAGATTTATAAACTTCAAAATTTCACAACACATTTATAAAGAGTGTAAAAAGATTATTCTGCAAACAAAATTCTTAAATATCAACAGCTGTTAAAGATAGAGAGAATCAAAGTTAAATTCATACTTGTTAAAGTTGATATTGGAACCTTTGTTACGTCCCTAATTCCAAAACTAATAGATTTATAAACTTCAAAATTTCACAACACATTTATAAAGAGTGTAAAAAGATTATTCTGCAAACAAAATTCTTAAATATCAACAGCTGTTAAAGATATATAGAATCAAAGTTAAATTCCTACTTGTTAAAGTTGATATTGGAACCTTTGTTTCGTCCTTAATTCCAAAACTAATAGATTTATAAACTTCAAAATTTCAGAACACATTTATAAAGAGTGTAGAATCATTATTCCACAAACAAAATTCTTAAATTCCAACAACTAATAAAGATAGAGAGTATCAAAGTTAAATTCCTACTTGTTAAAGTTGAAATTGGAACCTTTGTTTCATCCCTAATTCCAAAACTAATAGATTTATAAACTTCAAAATTTCACAACACATTTATAAAGAGTGTAGAATCATTATTCCACAAACAAAATTCTTAAATTCCAACTACTATTAAAGATAAGAGTATAAAAGTTCAATTCCTATTTTTTAAGATTATTGTAAGTAAAACGTAAAATAAAAATATTGGCAAAGTACTCAGAACATATTTATATACAGGGTTATTATATAGTATGGAAATAGCAAACAGCCAAGCAGTGATAGTACCTGAAAACAGAGGAAAACAAGAACTTTTTTTGCAGTGTTCTGTTTATAGAACTGAAATAAATAAAATAATAATTAAAGAACATTGTTTTTTATTAATATGAAACACCAAAATAAACAATTATAATTCTACATTTCTGCTAAGGCACCGTTGTACAAAAAACTCATTAACAGGTTTTTGAACGCCTTTTTCTTTGCTAGTAATTTTAAAAAATGAGGTTATTGAAGTATTATTAGCAGGCGGAGTTTTTTTGGAATCTTCGGTTTGTTCCCACTCTACATGATAAGCTTCTTCTTCCAAAGCATTTACAGCTGTTGACCAACTAAATCTTACCAATTGTGGAAAACCAAACACTGGATCTGAGTGGCGTTTAAGAAAATTTTTGGTTATTGGATCTGCAGGGTAACCACTGCCAAACTCTTTATATGTGATATCAATTCCTTCTGGAAATTTCCAGACTTTAATTGCATGATCTCTTGTAACTTTAGCACAAATACTAGCAGCCGAAACGATGGGATAAATAGAATCAGCTTTTTTAGATACTGTAATTTTAAACTTGGGAAACAATCCTTTCAAATAATCCTGGTATTTCTCAGGAGGTCCTACGGTGTCGACAAATATATGTTCGATATTAACTCCTCCATTCGCAGCTGCTTTTATTAGCGCAACAGCTGAATCCATGGAAACTTTATTTAATGAATGTTTCGTACGACTTAACATACTGTTACAAATATAATTGGGTGAAATTATTTCTACCGCCCAACCTATGGATTTAGATTCTTTACAAATATTGTTAAATATAACGTCGCGTTTCTCTTCAGTAAGAGCTTTTGAATCGGCGCAATCTAATTTTACGAGAATCATCTGTTCATTGATTGGACAAAAAGTAGTTCCGTACACCATTGGACCTTTAAAAGAATTTATAATTGAATTTATTCATGATTAAAAACGATATCGATTTAAACAGTGTAAAAATAAGACTGAAAGTTTGAATTAACTGTTAAAACTAACCTAAAACTGGTCCTCGTCCAGCTTCATCGATTCCTAATATACAAGGAAATTCTTTACAAACTTCTGGTATATCAGAAATATAGAAGGCATTTTCAGAGTTATCAGTTTCTGAAATAAAATTCTGCAACGTTTCTAAACAATGTATTTTCTGGATATCCATTTTATTATCAATAACCTCACTCAAAACTTGGCGCGTTTTTGATGTTTTTTTTTTTATCAAAAATCTTTAAAATTTCAATGGTGCCAACCTCTAGAATTTTGACGTTTTGCATGGAACAAAATACTCAGTAGGTGCGAACGTTTATTCAAGTTCGAACAGACAAGTTCCATTTGCTCCTTTAACTCCCATTGACCCTTTATTCAACACGTATGTAATTTAAAAGAACCCTACAAACTCCCCTCCTGTCCCCCTGGCTAATCCTATGGAGTGAAAAGGAAAGGAGGACAATCTTATACGGTTGTTTATCTCAAAAAGTTTTCCCCAAAATTGTATAAAATTTTGACAGAGCTCGTGTACTAGATGGAAAAGATCCAATGATATATAGTCGTATAGATAGCTCACCTATATGTAAATCAGACGACTAAAAGCACTATGTCGTCTATTACCATAATTTCTCTACAATTATACACTCAGTCGCTGCTTACGATGGCTTTTCAGAATGTAGTGTTCAATTTTTAGGCTATATCCTTCGAGCATATCTACTAGTACTTCTACTTAAGTGGAACCATATTAAAAAACTATTAGTTTTGTTAAAAAAATTAATCATAAAAAGTTATGCATGGTTTAAAACATATAATGCAACCAGATATCAATTTTTTTAAGCCATATACGAGGTTTGTCAAAAAATATGATTTTTTGTTGAAGTAAAGTACCTCTCTTTTTGACAAACCTCGTATACGACTATTAAAATTTGATATCCGATGGTTGTATTTTAGGTTTTAGATCATGCTTGACTTTTTATGATGAATAACTTTTTCCTAATACAAAACTTTTTCATATGACGTAGACAGTTGGTGTTTTTTTATAAGATCCTAAATGTTTAGGCTAGTGACAGCTTATCATTCACAGGTACTTTCTAGAGATGTTGATCTTGCGACTTACACTTTTTAGAAAATATTTCCAAATATTATTTTTTCTGAAGTATTGTTGAACTGGAAATGGGGTAGAAAGCCAATATGCATATTGTATCAATGGAACAATATGCAACTCTATGAGCGCAGCCATTTTTATTACTCATCTCACTCTTTCATTCAGGACCGATTCCACCGTTGTGTTAAACGACGATTAAAATGACGTTGTTAATATAATTGTATATATTATGCAACGATCATGTAATGATGGTTATTAATACACGAGCATTAACCGGGATACGAAACGAGCCAAAGGCGAGTTTCGTATGGTTTATGCGAGTGTTTTAATAACCATTACATGAGAGTTGCATACGCTATTTTTTCTACACCCGATAAATAATCAAGACCTATAAATATTCTATTTATATTGGCATTGAACACAATAACAGTAATTACTCGTATTTCTATAAAAAATTCTACAAAATTGTAATTAATGGTATTACCTTGGGTATTGGTATTACCACAGATTTTTGGGGCAAAATATTTTGTACTGCATTTTCTCCTTTCTCCGATATGTGTGGAGGAGTCTTCTATATCGCTGATATCAGACATTTTAATATTATAATTATCGAAGTTTAGCTATCTACGAAAATTTAATACGTTTTGACAACTAAAACAATTACATAGGAATTTAGGACAAACGTCAAACATCATGCTTGATTGAAAAATTGTAGGTTTCTATTGATTAAAAATCTGTATCATAATGAAAAATCTGTATCATAATGGGTATCATTATGAAACGGATTATGGGCATATAAGTGCATTATTATAATACGGGTGTAGAAAAAAATGGTTTTAAAACACATTTTTGCTAAATTGATTATGATTAACAAGCACTCGCAGAACGACCCGCTGTGAGCAATCTATATAACGAAATTTGTATCATTGACCCTCCCAGGGTTGCCATATCTAATCTGTCAGTTCTCACTTGTCAGCATTTTGACAGGTCTAATTGATTTCAATTATCTTAAATTTTCTGTGCCTGATATGCAGTTTGTTTATCTTATTAAATTTTTATAAAAACGTAGAATTAATTTAATTTCTAGAATACAACTAAAAATAATAACACGATAATTCCGAAACGTTTGAAAAATGGGAAATAGGTCATCACTCCTGTTGCGCGAAGAAGAAATAGCTCAAATCCAAACCGAAACAGGATGTA